AATCCTTCTCTACCACCACTGACCTACATTCTGTTCAGTGGGTTGATTGAACATTTTGTTTTTCTAAACAAGGGAAAACAGTTATAGTTCCACCTCTTCTGTGCTTCCTCTCAGAAGCACTGCAAGTTCAGAATGTGCACATATGTAAGATTTCAAGTGCAAAAGGAGAAGAGTAGGAAACAGATTTTCACAGTCCCCGTCTGGGCGCTTGTGTAAGTGCCAACGTAAAGCTATTCGCTGATTAGTGAATAGTATGTTGCTGGGCTCTGAGGAAACAGATTGGAAAATCCAAACTTAATAAGCAGATCAATTGGGTGGGGGAGGTGAGATTGTTGTAGCGCATTCCAATGACATGCACTGTTTGTCAAAAACTTTTTTCTCCAGAAACGAAATTACAGGAGGCATGCAGATACCTTGCAAAATGTCAGGAATGGGGGCTTGGAGGAATTTAGTTAAGAAGAGTGGAGATATACCACTTATCCCAGGAAGCACACACTGCAAGCATCTGGGTATCTCAGGGTACAGGCTGACTTGAATGTGGGTAGGGGAGGAGATCTACCCTGAATCCAAGGAGGGAAATGAATTAAGCTGAATGTCTGCAAAGAAGGGAACTTCTGGGTGGAGGTGTGAGCTCCTGGGCCCAGAGGAAACTCAACGTATTCGTCAATTTTTAGAAGCTTATAATAACTGGATTTGCTTTTCCCCTGCAGAGTAAGGAGAAACTTGTGGGATAAGCCTCGAGGGAACCATACATAACCATTTCTCCTTTCATCCCACTTTGGGTTTAAGTTCAGATTTTACACATTTCTGGGTTTCCCTGCTCCCCTTAAAACTTCTTGCAACCAACTCATTGAGGTCTGAAATTCTTTAACACCAGACAAAGCATTCATAGTTAGAGATAAAACTGTAAATCTATATAGAGACAGTTTTATAAAATTTGTATATAATTATGAAAAAATTAAGACTATATATCTAAGGCTATAAATAAATCTTATTTATTTATGGATTTTGTCTACACTTAACACCTCTTGGATACCTGTTCTGTGTTTGGTACTAATAAGAAAAAAGAAAGATGAACAAGTAAAGTTTCTTGACTTCCCACAACTGGAATGAGGGAACATGGAAAATCATACAGTAATTGCAATGTGATGTAAGTTCTATGAGACTAGAGACACCTGTATCTCTCTCACCACTGGGTGTTCCCTGCATTTGTCACAGTGTCTGACTCATAGCCAAAGCTTATTGTTTTTTAAGCTGATGGATATATGGATGAATGTAGTATCATAAAGATTATAAAAAAGGTATGTACACGCTATAATGTTGACTCAGAAGAAGGAATAAACAACGTTGCCTTGGAGGGATGCAGAGAAGAGGAGACTTCATGGGGAGATGCTTGAACCAGATCATGAGAGATGAATAGGAATTGCCCAGAGCTTCCACCATGGTACTGCAGCCAGAAGAATGAATGTGGGTGAAGGCAAGAAGTTGTGAAATAACACAGATGTTTAGGGATTTGCAAATGATTTCATAGTCCTAGGTAGTGAGAATAATGGGAGTAGAAATGTGGCAGATGAGGGCCATACGATGAAGCCCTTCATAAATAAGTGACGTACCTGATTCGAGTCAAAGCAGGTGCTGCTGGGTATCAGGGCAGGTGTGGAAAAGGAGCAAGGAACTGGTTTCCCCCTCACACTTTAACTGACCTTGATCTTGTTTACCTTCAAAAGTACTGGGACTTAGTGTGAACTTAAACCTCATGCGGTCTGATCAGATAGGTCCACTAGAAAAGAAAATCTCACAATGGGGGAAACAAGGGGATATATGTAATGCTTTCAATAATAAAGATTTTTAAAAAAGTATTGGGATTTGAAAGCTAATTAGGGAGGCTTTTCTTAGTATGGAAGCCGCAGAGCATGATGAACTATACGAGTACGGATCCATTGAGATTTTATATTTTAAAAGGCATTAAAAGAAAGATTTTGTATTTTTAGAACTTAGAGAGTTTTATTACCAGATGATTGTGTAATAGAGATACCATTTTACAAAGGCATCTGTCATTTAATAAATGGGATTTCTGTCTGGTTCCTTTGAATAGTGACTTCATGTAGGATTCAAAATAGCCTAGTCACACATGGCTTTCCGGAGACCTGCCATGTGTGTACATCAAGGCGCATCTGGGTGGGTGAGGGTTTCCCACTGCACTAACAGGCCCTGGGCTTTTTGAATTGCCCGTGATATGTTTCATGGGTATGTGAATACATCTACTAGAAAGATTGGATGGGCTGGGTACTCACTCTCTTTAGATGTATAATTTCTTTAAAGAGAAGATCTATAGTATTTTTTTTAAGTTTTTATTTTATTTTATTGATTTCAGAGAGAAAGGAAGAGAGATTGATCGGCTGCCTCTTACATGCCCCACACTGGGGATCGAGTCCGCAACCCGTGCTTGTGCCTGACCTGGAAACCAACCGTGACCTCCTGGTTCCTAGGTCGCCCGATCCTCAACCACTGAGCTATGCCGGCTGGGCTCTAGTGGATTTTTTATTTTGTTGCTTTGGACTCTGTATGCATTTAACTTTGTGGAATATATTCCAATTTTAAGTAAGGAGCCCTACATTAATAAAAGTTGGTTTCTTAAACATTAAATACACCTGCTGACTGTTCCAATAGCGACTTCGGGGCCACGCCAAGTTGAAATTGATAGACATGCTACCCTTCTTCCTCCTTCTAGCTCAGGTCCCAAGGCTGCTGTTGTTTTCTTTCTCCTACTTTCCTCCTAATTTTTTTTATAAAATGACTTTTCATTCTGCATGTTGAGGTTTAATATGTGCTCTTCCCTTGATAAGAGGATTTCATTTTGAGGGAAAGGTTCTTGGCGGGTTGCATTAGTCCAGCGGTCTTAGAATAAGATGTTTGTGGGGAGGGGCGGCGGCATCTCAGCCATCGATTCTCTCTTTATAACTTTGCCCTTTTAGCTGGAACAGATTACCTGTGTTGTGCTTCTGGCTCTGCACAGACTGAATCACAAGGAAGAAGCTTTACATAAACCATTTATACTAAATGTTTGGTATGCTGGCAACATAAATCAACAACAATGTTCATTACAAATTCATCCCTTTATCAGTATTATCTTGATAGAACTGATCCCAGTGTGTGGGAATTTGAACCCTGCTTCAATACATCTAGCCCTGGGTAATTAATTATTCAGGGCACAGAGAACCTGGCCCTTGCAATGTAGAGTAATTCTTCCTGGTCAGCGTTAACTCCACTGGCAATAATAAATAGAAAAAGTCTCTAGTGATGCCAGTATTTTAAAGTGATTAATCATCTTTCCCCCCTTCTCCTCCCCCTTAGTTTTCTTTAACTAGGATTTTTTCAGCAATAAATCTTTAACAATACAGGTAGGAATTGTTCTGTAATTAAATTTTGCCCTGCTTAATTTCTTACCTTTTATGTGTGCAATTAAAAAAAAAGTTACATGTTAAGGAGCTCTGATCAAAATTCAGACCCAGAAAAAAAAAATCCTTTTTTAGAATACTCAGAGATTGGAAGAATAAGCTCTTGATTTTGAATATTAGATAGCACACATACTCATAAAAATTGTTAATCAACACCAGTTGGGGTGTCAAATATTCTGAAGTTTTGAATTGCTTCTCTTTCGTGCATAAGGGTTGTCTGTATTAGGAAAAGTCTGACATATACATATGTTCCCCAAACTGAGAGAATAATTACTTATTGCCTAACTTTCAGATAATCGGTCTGAGCTCTGCAGGAAAGGGTATTTTTCGCCCTTTCCGCGGCACAAAAGTGCGCTTGCTGAAGTGGCAGGTAAATGCCCGACCGAGAATGACTGTGTATTTTTAAATCCTGCCCTCTTGATCTGACCAGCCATCATTTATATCCTGGGTGACAGGGACAGATGTGACATATCTGCTGTGACACACTTCTGAGCCACCAGCCTGTGGCTCGAGGTGACGCCTGCCCCTCCTCTTTCCC